GCTTTCACTAAAGCCAATTTAATAAACTTCTCTTTTTCAACAGATCAAGATGCTGGAACACCACCCCCAGTTGTCACAGTGGGAGTGGATTCTGAAGGTGCTTCTAGAAACTGCTTCTCACTAGTAACAAGTAATAGAAAATGAAAAATTTGGAAAGTTTTCAAGCAATTGTAAAGCTGAGGCTAACAGCTCTTTTGTAATTATGGTTTGGAAAAGACCAGACTTCATCAGAATCTTCTTTCATAATTTAACAGCATACGTAGTAGATCACTCCCTACTATAATTCAAATCTTTCCTAACTAAAATTAATTAAAAAAAAGATTATTGTACCATGCTAAGTATCGTTGTTTTTTTAGGGCTACTTTTCATCTAGTTTTCTTGAAGAAAGGGCAGTATATCTGCTTCATATCAATAGGTTAAAAAGCATTTGTAGTGGTCTACCAAAGTGTTTCAATATTCTAGTAAGTCACAAGGCATCTAAATGCAGCAGTACTCTCTGTCTTATTAAATTATTTTTCAATCTGTTTGTGGTGCTGAATTTTTGTCATTAAAAATTTTCAGTAGTGCCAAAAGACCAATTGTTAGTATTTGTCCATCCAGAAATACAGGGGTACTTTTTGAGGCACGCGTTATAGCCAAGATCACAAAAAGTTTTGACTGTATAGGGAAGCTAAGTATACAGTTAGACACCTTGGTAGCCAAAGGAGCCGACGTGAATTTAACTGTTACTTCCCAATCTTTCCTTCCACCAAAGTTATATGTGTTATGTTTCAGCTGGTTTTCCTTGTTCAAATCTTGATTCCAGACAAACACAGGATAAGATGTGCATTTGCACATCACATTTGAATTCATTTGATACCACAGCCAAAATCACCTAATTTTCTTTCCTAACACTCTCACGTACATATTTAACAAGGTAGTGAAAAAGCCTTGGGACATCCCACACAAGATATTCCTCTGGACAGATGAGGAATTGCCCAAAACTTCTCTCTGGATCTTTCAGGAAGAAAAAGGAAAGGCGCCATGCAAAATTGGCTTGACTGCCAGGGTCTGCAGCTGTGTCAACACCACTTTTCAACTGCCAAATGGCTCTGTATCTGTGGAGGTTATTGAGCTGCTCTTATTCCACCTGGGAACAAAGAGTTATTTTCCACCAGACGTTGCCTTCATTTTAATAAATTAGAGGTATAAGATTCTGTATTAAAGGTCTAGTGAGCTTAAACTGACCTTTTACAGCCAAATTATAATCCATTTGGAAATCTTTTGGGATTGCTGCAGATGTGTTGCATAGGTAATGAAATGCTGATTTGGAGCAATGAAGCATCTGGAGAAGACACCATTTTCACATTGCAGTTACACAAGATGATTTGACTTATCTGTTCCTATTTCCGACTCTCCCCACGCATCTCATGGGTCTATGCAGTTAAGTTAAATAACATGCACTATAGAAACAATTCATGCTAAAGCCTTTGCCAGATCATTTACCTAACAGAATTAAATAGAATACTTCAATAAACCCTATGAACCTGCTGTTGTAGACAGATCAACAGGGAATTAGGCTGAATGTTCAATACTGCATGGTAGTAATATTAAGAATGGCTTGATCTATATTTCCTTCTATAATTTTCACCCACATCATGTTTGCGGTGTGGCTGATATTACATTTGCCAGTAGGCTGGTATGGATTCAGTCATAATTTCAATCAACAATTACTGTGATTCCCATGTCAATTGTTGATAGGTGTCTAAAACTTCCTTAGCTCCACTGGCCTGTCTCAAAGACACAGGGTGATCCTCAATGATATTCTATGTGGAACAGAGAACAGCAAATAGTCTCAAGCATCATACCTTTATTGAGCTTCTTCATCACTAGCAATTTATTGATTACCAGGGATCTGGGTTTTCCATTTCCCATGGAAAAATGGAGTAAAACGTGGATTTCCTCCCTTACCGCAATAAAACACAGATTTCTTGTTTTAGCTGAGAAACCCATGAAATTTGCAATTTTGCAACAACCCTTCTGAACACAGCCACTAGGCAGATCCTGTAGGTAAGAGTGTGAGTGTGAGTGTGTGTGTGTGTGTGTGTGTGTGTGTGTGTGTGTCGGGGGGCAGGGGCAGGGATTGAGGCCTCCAAAGGGAGATGTGGGGGGGGGGCAGGGGGTTGGCTTGGGGGGGG